TTTCCATAACAACTTTTATGAGGAAAACATTTCCACGTTCTCTCTGCAGTTCAGGTAGATGAAAGGCCCTGGCCACTATTTGAGAAATGGAAATTTACTGAATACATGAAGCCCTCACCAACCTGCATGCATCATGGATATTCCTTCCCTTTCTACGCTGTCGGTTTAAATGCAATTACAAATAGATGCCTGTTATTGTAAATACACAACCAATGACTCCATCAGTGCTGGAGCTGATCAGTGACTCTCTGCTAAAGGACAGCTGTGACTTTCAGCTCCAGTGATAACTGCTCAGTTCTGTGCGAAACAACACAAAGGCATCCATCTCGTACCATGTGCCAGTTCTGGCTTCAGAAATGATAATGAAATGTCTCTGAAAGGTGTGGAGGAAAACAACTCAGCCGGTTTTATAAATCACTTCAGAAAATGATAATAGATGCTGAAATAAATTTGACAATTATTGGCTGAGGGGAAACTTTTCAAATAAACAGGTTTATGGTAAGTCATATCACTTGGCAGTTGATCATCATGATCACTCCTGGATTGTCCCAGAAGGTGGCATATTTATTAGTATGCAACAGATGGGGAGCATGCGTTTTCCTTGCTATGGCTTGTGAAATTGGTCTTTTGGTAGCAGTATAAATATGATGAACTGTAGCCTATAACAGGCACTGGATCCCACACAAGGACAAAATGTCCAAATGAGCAGCAAAAGTCATGTTGTAGCTGTTTTACAACAGTGCCATCAATGATTGATCTACACCCCGCTGAGCCACTACAGGAAACAAAGTATAGAGCCTATAATTTAGTTGGAAAACAATGCATGAGACCGTCAGCTTGTGCATCCATTTCGGCACAAGCATTCCCTGGTGCAGATAGATCATTAAACTACCAGGCGCTTTGCAATATGGTGTAGTCAATGTCACTGAAAAGATGGGACAATAAAGTGAGGTAGGGGGTTGCAACAGCAGGGAGAGAGCATGGAGATGTATTAATGTCACATAGGCTTTAGCCTGCCTCCTTAAGCCCTGCAAAGAGTCACCAAAGCCAATTTCCATTATCATATTGATTGAAATAGTTCATCATAGTGTAATTTTAGGTTTATCGCCACCCGGTTGGGAATAAGACCAAAGCATTATCCAACAAAAGCTATTGTTCCAGGGGACGTTTCGCTGTTCCAGTTCATTGATGGAGTTGATTAAGTTTAAATGAAGCAGACACTGGATAAAAGTGAGGGTATTGACCAGCGAGCAGTGTGCCGCGCTTGAAAAAGCCTGATACACGCGGAAAAGCAAGATTTGCTAAATGCTCTAATCTTCAATCAAATCTAACATCAATACAGACAAAGTTTGGTAATGAGAGATTCAATGAAGCATGCAGTAGAGAGAATTAATCCCCCTCGCCTAAACTGAGTTCAACTTTGAAGCTTGCTCCTCAGGATAGATAGTTATCTAAATGCTAAATAAGAAACGTATTGTACTTTTCACAGCATACTAATCATTTGTTCATTTTGTCTCCATTATTTGTTCTCTCACACATCCCGCTTGTTGATCGGGTGATTAGATCAACCTTGGATAGTGGAGGAGAATGGAATAATGAGGCTGCCGGGGAGATTTGATGCACAGCAGCACGTAATGTTCAGGCCTGTGGGGACGCTGCCACGACGTACTGTTACAGTTCGCAGAGTGGGAAATTGGGCAAAAAAAAAAAAAAAAGACAAGCATTTAAAGTGTAAAGATGACTTTACACTGGTCCACAGGTTATGAGGAAATAAGGAAATAACTCTGAATGTTCAGGGCGCTTCATTAGTGTTTTATTGGGATGAAAAGAAAACTAATTCTTAATTTAGAGGAGCTCACGTTCTTATTTCAAAAAATCAACAATTATGTGCTTGTTATTCTCTAATGTGTTAGAGCTCATTCTCACAGGCTGGAGCACTGGTTCCCAACATTTCTGGCTAATGATTCTCTGCAGACACATTTTGAGACATGTAAAAAATACTTCAAATAATAAGTTGTGTCTGATTTTGTTCCCAAAGAAAAGTTCAATTAATTAGTTTACAATTTTTAAAAGCATGCACTTTGTCTGCCCCCAGTGAAAAAAAAAACAGAATCTGTGCATATATAAATATTTTTCATTTCAGAATTACACTGCTGGACACAAGATGTCTGCTTCTTCACTGCATAGTCCACTCTCAATGTATGGGCAATGAAAGCGATTTTCTCAACTAGTTGTGATGTCACAGATGCATACTCGTACATCCAGGTGTTAAACTGAGATTTAAAAGGTAACTTTGGTATTTTTCAACCTGGACCCTATTTTCCTATATTTTCGTTGTCTAGGGGACTAACAGGAACAACAATTTTTAAATTGGTCCAATGTTGAGCGAGACCACACAGGCTGCGATGTAACCACTCGGGGCATGTTCATACCATCGATGTATGTCCATTAAAAGTACTTGTTTTTGTCACTGTCAGGCTCAGATTAATATTCTAAGTGTCTGACTACTTATGGAAAGGACTCCTACAGAGGTAGACCTTGTTGATAAAGAGTAAGATCCTCTTTGTTTAACCAGAAACAACCCTGAAATCTCCAAACAAACCCACCAGTCTCCATTCAAATAAACGCTGCCGTCTGAAGCGGCCACACTCAACAATGGAGCGATTTTAAAAACTGTTGTTCCCATTGGTCCCTTAGACCAGTGGTTCCCAACTGGTCCAGCCCTGGGGTCCAGATTTCTCCTAAGTCATTTGTTAAAGGTCAACACAGTTCAACATATTCAGCGTCGTACTTGCGTTTGGCCATGTCATTGAGTTAGTTTCCTGTCCCTGTCATGTCGCTGACCATTAGTCACTCACTCTACAGCAGGGACCAGCAAGTCAAAGTAAAAGCTTCATGCCGGAAATTCACAGTACTTCAGAATAAATTTTCTTTTATACAAACTTGACATGTTCACGAGTCACTTGCAGTCCTTTCAGAGTAGACCCGGGACCCACTTTTGGATCAGGGCCTACCAGATGGAACTGTTGATAGGAGCACCATCGTACCATTGGAGTACTTCAAGCCCGAAATATCACCTTAACGCAAAGCATTTAGCAGTGAACCCAGAGGTTGGAGCTAGCACAGCCTCCGATGCTAGCACTAGCAACCAGCATCTCAAAGCCACACTCGACCAGGAGCTCAGACACAAACTGATTATGTCTACCTGTGACTGACTAAGTCCCTTGCAAAATGGATTGATTGGACTGCACACTATCGCTGGTAGAGGACGGGGTGACAACTGTATCCAAAATCCAGCAGCTTTACTTCGACACATCTACCAAAATTCCATTGACAGAACATGTAATTAATTAGATTTTTTTAATCCCTTGACAGCCCTAGTTCGTCTCATTTGTATGTGATTTTTTTAAGTAACCCACATGATGCGAGAAGCAGATGGCCCCCAGGTATTTTCACATTATCTATTCTTTGCCCATTCAAAAAGATTGGACACCCCTGCTTTAAGGTGAGCACAGAGAAACTTTCTGCTTTCAGCAAATGAATGTGAAAACAGCCATCGTGTCAGTGACCTCTTGTTGCCAGTTTTATATGCAGGGGTCAGCAACCTTTAATATCAGGGAAACCATTTTTCGACCAAAAATAGAAATAAAAAACTTTGTCTAGAGCCTCAAAACATATTTAAAGGCGCTGTATGTAAGCATGTGGCCAAAACGGTTACTGCACTCAAATTCAAAATACTGTCGCGAATCGTGTCCACCCCCCCTCCCCTACAGATTCGAGGTTGCTGGACAGCGGCACGCTGGAGACTGATTTGTTTGCCCACGGGCTACTGCCGTGGCAGGGCCGCGTCGCCGCGTCCTTGATTTTCGGTTTTCCAGCGGACCGTTCGACCAAGTCCGGCTTCTCTGCTGCTAACACTGCTGCCGGGATACAGCTGAGGAGACTGCTAATGCTATGTACTGGGACACTGCTAATGCTGCTTGCCGTGCTGCTGTAGCTCAGTCGTAACTGTAACTGATGCTGAGACTCTACTGACTGCGTGACTGGTAGACGGCGGTGGGTGGCGCAACAGGCCAAAACACAAATTCAAAACATAAACATGATTTGTGGACCGTAAAAATTTTTTTAAAATGCAAATATTCTGGCCGTACTATTGTTGTCCGTGAGACCAGTATGTTATATGAACATTATTCCTTAGTCTCTGTGACATATTAGGATGAATTTAAGACTATTTGCTTTAGATTTCTTACATATAGCTCCTTTAAACCTTATAATAAAGGTAACACAGCCTATTAAATCTAAATTAGCCAATCTACATTATTAATAGGTCAAAGCATCCATTATGTTTTACTATGTGGTGGTCACTCTGCAGTGGGTTACTTAACAATATTGGGAACTTTAACTTTGCAGAGTTGGTGGTGAAAGCAAATTAAGCTGTGTTCATGCTGTTAAATTCTCCCATCTTGTCTTTTACAAGACTTTTACCTTTTTTGACATAGCTAAAAACATAGCTACCCTAGTTTGGAACATTTAAGACTAGCCACTGCCAGTCTGCTTGGTGATGAAATATGAAATATTTAAACATTTTTTTAAATTTGGTGCATGATTTGTTTAGGCCTACAACAATGATTTGCATGGGTTTTTTTTAAAATTAAAGCCACAGGGAGCCACTGAGGGATTCTAGCTTCTCAGATTCATTTGAGGAAGTAGTTTAGGCCTGTCCAGTATTTTACAAAAAACAAACAAGAAATTAACTTTGCAAAGTAGGAAATTTGTTTGGGTTTTTTTCTTATTCCTATCTCCAATCAGCTTGTGACCCTTCAGACCTATCCTGAGACCTGTTGGGGGGTCTCACCCCTCAGGTTGGACACCACAGACCCCAAACAGACGGCTATGTGAGGAGAAATGGGCCTCGATAACTCACAGTGAACAAGCCAAGGACAGTGAACCTCTTTGTACAACATGAGGACTTGTTAAAGGAGGGTGGAACATGGCTTTACCTTCTGTCTTCATTCAGTCTGAAGCTCCATCAACGTTCAACACATTCGCGGTTCATCTCCAAACGGTTCTCTAATAACTTCCTGAAACAAAATCTCACAAACTATCGCGATATTCTCGGGTAAGTTGGAATCAATTAGCACGGCTGCGATAACCCGCCTGTAACCGGTTAAACTAATGTAAAGTGTCTTTGAGCACCACGAAAAGCACTCTATGAATAAAATGTATTATTATTAATGTTATTAAACTTGTATTTTCCGCCTTTTTTGTGTGGCAACACCGGAAACCCGCCTACGTACCTGTATTTCCTGGAATTAGCCGATGTCACGATCAAACTGCACGTCACGTGACTCTATCAAGGGGAAAATGTCTATAATAGATATATTTATTTATTCATCTATGTTTTAATTAATTTATTTAGTGTTTTTATTATTTTATTTTATTTATCTACATTAAAAAATGATCTTACATTTCACTTTTGAATTTTATGACCATACAGAGTGATAGAAAGGTGATAACAAAATTGTGTAGGCCTATTGATGAATTTCTTTTTTTGTTTTCTTTTCTTTTCTTTTTTGTTTGTTTATATTTGAGCATCTGATGCAAGTAGGTTTGCATAGCCTACGTAAAAATGTAAATAATCATCAGTAGATGATGACACACATAACCCACAATATTATAAATTAGCCTATATTCAGTTATGTTTTTAGACAACACTGAATAATAATTTTCGATCATTAAAATGCATTCATCCAGGCGTCCTGAGGAGTCGGTCCCGCTGCAGGATGGAGGTGTGTGTGTCAGGTGAGTCTGGGCGTGTTCAGCCGGTGTCGCTGCTGCAGGCCTGTTAGTCCACAGCGGAGCAGCACCGTGGAAGGTGAGTGAGTGAGAGGAGGCTGTGAGTGCTGCCGCTGACATGTAGCCTGGTACCACATAACAGGTGACAACTCCCTGCACTTGAAGTAAATGTTACACACGCCTTGTATAAGGGCTTTCTTCTTTAGAAAGGCTTCCTGCTGGCGACGCCCAAATCCACTGTGCGTCACTATGCATTGCAGACAGACTTTTGGGGGGTTTAATTTCTATTTTAGAAATAAAAAAATAATATTATCTGTGTGCCAAATCCGTCAAATACAAGTTTATCATATTGATTTGTTTTATTATTTCATATTTGTGTCTATAGCCTTGAAACGTCGAGACTAAATAAAGATTTCTGGTGCCACCCATTGGGTCTTAAGCGGACCAGAGTTGATATCAGTTTGTCTTAACTTCTACTATTTATTTCCACATGCAACCTCATTATTTGCATTTATTTTATTTTTTTTGCAGAATGACGTTAAGTGTTGTCAACCGCGCTGAGTGGATTTTTCAACCCTCTGTTTTTTTCATTGTTGAGAAATGAGCTGTGGGACATGAAGCCTGAGCTGTGTGTTGTCAGAATCCCATCTAATCTGCATGTTTGTTTCTTAAACAGGGCATGTTCACTTATCCCCCCTTCTTTTTCTGCAAATCGACAGGAGATGCAACCCGGGAGAAGTGCAATAAAACAAACTCTTGCTCTCAAAGGTGTGCGCGGCTTTGTACCGGCGCGTTTTGCCTGTTAGCTGCACATCCTCTGTCTTTTCATCTGTCAGTTATTCCCCTCATGTTTTGTCATTTGCTCTGTATATTCATTTGTCGCCTGCTATTTTTTTTCAATGCCTGCGTACACCCGCGGTTGTAATTAAATTTCTCCCTCAAATGCGACAAAGGCAAAGATTTTTTTTTTTGGTCTGGGATGTGTTTGATTACTGATGTGATGTTGAGACATTCTGTGCAGCTCCTGCAGACTGGCGCGTCCTGAGAGCAAGGCGGGGATGTGAGCTTTCAGTAGCCACAGCAGACTGATGCAAACGGTGAGGAGTCGCCTGCACAGAAAAAACACACAGGGGCCTTAAAGGAGGTCTGGAAGTCAGCTTGATTGCTGCATCAGTGCGTGGGGCTCTCTGTCCTTCACCCTGCAAAAGAAGGGAAGTCCATCCAGGCTGCGTGTCTCTGTGAAGTGAGAGATCAGCCCAGGAATATTGCATCAGTAAAAGCATCACAATAAACTGAGCAGGAAACGCTTAGAAGCTGCGAAATAGCTACAAATTAAATACAGCGATTATGCAGAATTTGTGACTTTTATTTAGTCGAATTACCACCCTAATTTCCCTGCTATTATTTTATTTGTGTTCCATTTATTTCATTATTATTGTTTATCAGTTTCAGTGTAACCGCTTTGTGTTGCGTCTCCTTGTGGCTCTCAGAATGAAATGAGCAGCGCCCCCTGCCGTCCGATGGGGGAACTGCACCGTGGCATCATCAGCACATAAAGCTCATGGGCCCAGTGGTTAGTAAACACTTTTTAATCCCACAGAGCCGTTTCACACCCCTCTAAGTGATTACTGGATATAATCACAACCGTAAATATTCATTTTTTTGTGTGAATGATTGCAAGAATTAAAGCACATGTTCTTTTTTGTATGTGTGGCGTGTGGAGATGTGATAGGAAAGATGGACAAAATGTGACTGCATCAGTGTGTATGGAGGTCCATTTTAAAGGGGAAAGCGGTTTCAGCAGTCCGAGTGTAACATGATGGATCACTACAGACACTTAGGCCCAAAAACAGACACGTTAAGATCTGGATTTTTTTTTCTCGTCAATTTATTCTTTGGCTGTACCCGAAATCCTGCCTGACTCGTCATTTCTGGCTCATATTCTACATTTCTCCCCTCATCCAAATCAAAAGCCTCTGTGCTCGCTTGTCAAGCCTCCAGTTTAGTGATGTAAAAAAAAAAAAAAAAAAGGAGGTCAGCCTGAGCCCGGCGGGATGCAGGGCAGCTGCTCCCTGACCAGTTCCCCCGTCACACCTACTGCAGCTCCGTTTCTAAAGGCATTCGGTTGGCGAGTAATTAATAGGAAATAATGATGTTGCCGAAGGTGCGGCATCGCTACCGAGCACGTCAAGACTGGGCATATTGTTGGCTGCATTATTAATCTCTTTACTGTAAATGACACATGGATGCTGACGATGATGCGCAGCCTGTTTGTGATGGAGGTGCCTCAGCAGAATTAATAAGCAAAGAGGTGGGGAATTACAGCTGTAATTTTAATGCTTTGAAACACGGAAATAGTTGCATTTTTCTGGGTGCATTTTGGCATCAAACATGCAAAATAAAAATGCACCAATCAGGCCGTGAGCTACACTGATAATCTTCTTTTTAATTATTTTATTTGGAACATAATTTCCATGCATCAGCTCCTCACTGTAAATGACACATACATGATCAGCCTGTTTGTAACGGAGCTGAAGCAAGAAGCAAAATTAAAGCTACGCTGTTAATGATATAGTTGCTTTTGGGGGTGCATTTTGGCATCAAACACGTACAAATAAAAACGCAACAAGCAGCTCTACAGGGCAATTTTACTTGGAACATATATTTTCATGCACCGTCAACAGCACTGCTTCCTACTGTAAATGACAGACACATGCTGACGATGCTGCTCAGCTGAAATCATAAGAAAAGTGATGCAAAATTAAAGCTACAATGTTAATGATTTGAAAAATAGCTGCATTTTTTGGGTGCATTTTGGCACCAAACACACACAAATAAAAACGCACCAAGCGGCTCTACCATCAGGCTCATCCTCTTTTTTTGTAATTATTTGTAACATATATTTTCACGCACCATCAACACCACTGCTTCTTACTGTAAATGACACATGGATGCTGATGATGCTGCTCAGCCAGGTATTTTTTTGGGCATCAAAAAGGCAAAATTCAAACTGCACCATCAGGCTACACGCTACTGATCCTCTTCTTTTTAATTACTTTATTCAGAACATATATTTCCATGCACCATCAACAACAATGCCATTTTTTGAAACCGTACAATATTCCTTCATCTCCCAGAGAGCAAAAAAAAAATCATCTGACTCAGGTAATTACAGCAGATAATGTAATCGCACCATAACGCACTTGTCTGCCCAATTAGCTGAAACAATTATTACAACTTTGACTTTAATTACGTCTCAATTTGGAGCCTCGCGCTGGTCTATAATTCAGTGATTAAAACCCTCTTTGCCCCAGTGCCTTTAGGGCAGCGCATGATTAGGACCTGTCAGCTGCTGGAGTGAACAGAGGCAGCCATGCGTGTTGTGCAACATGACCCGCTGTTGTTAAACCTTGTCAACATATTAACCTGAATTCCCCAGTCATTATAGACTCAATTGCCTACATAAGAAGGAAAAAACTACACATATGTGTGTGTAATTGGGAAAAAAAGTAGGCTATGTATTTTCTGGAGTATAATAACACGGGGCGTGACGTCACATAATGTCCCTAGGCCTATAGGTCAGACAATAGAAGCTTGAATGAAAACCATTTATGTGTAAGCTGCAGACATGCATGCTGAAATCCATCTGTTTGTTAATTATGTATCATTTTTATAGTAAAATGTGAGTGAAAGATGTTCAGGCAGGATAAGTGTTAAATCCTGCTGCTAAATGTGGTCTAAAAAAACATGAGTCATGGGACATGTGATCATTACATGGAGACAAACAAAAATAAAGAGGTCTGACAAGAGGAAAAACAGTGTTTTGGGAGGGCCAAAAGGTTCATCTGAAGCACATTTGATCCTTGTCAAAATATATTGATTCATGTTCTTTCAAGAGACAGTTGATGTCTTCCTTAATTTCTGACTGGCCATCTGGACTGACTGATGAGGGGAGACTCTTGCTTTCTTTGTGGGTTAAGAGCTGAAATAATAAGTCAGTTATGAAAATGATAATTTTCCTTTACACATTAAGATATGACAGAAAATTTCCCTGAGTGAGAATTTGCAAAAGATGATCAGCAACGTCACAGTGCTTTATGTGTAACACAATGCAGATGCTTCACATATATATGTATCATAGTGTAGGTAGGGTTTGCATAAGTTTGCAGGAGTGGCCGAGCAGTGGATGCAGACTGGGCCTTAGGTTTTTACGAATTTCCCCTCAGCCACAATCAGTGCAACCGAGTTTCCTTTGGTGTATCCAGAGGTGAATAATTTATAGGAGGATAAAAGCGTTTGTGGTAGAGAGCTAGACAGTCAGACAGTAGAAGAAGGCTGGTTGGGAA